CACACACACACACACACACACACACACACACACACACACACACCTCTAAGCGTTTCTTTTTTTGGCATCCCTGGGGATGGGTAGCACTAGAGCCACCGCCTTGTGAACTATAGAGGCCCCTGAAGTCATTCTCAACTTCTTTGGTCTGGAGTTGGTTGTCTTCCTTTATGGCTCGGAGAAGACTGGAGACGAGAGGAGGTAGACGCAGTGGTGGCAGCAGGAGTCCGGGGGTAGGGGAAAGGTGCAAGAGGTCCACGCTAGGCGCACGTTGTGCTTTCCACTCCCGCTTCAGCTCCTCCTTGCCCAGCCTGGTGGTCTTAATTTAGGAGAGAGCTGCTGTGCAAACTTTGGGGTCTCTTTCCCCACCCCACTCCACCCCCTTCCTCCGTTTTTTTCTTCTGCTGATGCAAGTGACGGAGAGATTTCACCAGTCCCAAAGAATCCCAAATGTGCCTACAAAGAGAAGTTTGCCAAAGTTTGTTTTTTTGGGGGGGGGGGGGTCGTTGTTGTTTCGTGTGGTCCAAGGGCTTGAGCGAGGAAGCCGATTCTGAGGGAAAAGGCAGCCCGAGAGGGGCGCAGGCGCCGGGCCAGAGGCTGGGGTTCTCCTGCAAATCACAAGGAGCCTGCGCCCGAAGAGATCGAGTGCCTGTGTGTATGGAAGAGAGAGCGAGTGTGAGTGTGTGTGTGTGCGTGCGTGTGTGTGGGTATGGGGGGGTCGGGACAGAGGAATGTCTCAGGGGCCAGCTAAGATTTGAAAGCAAAGTGGAAGGCTGGCTTTCGTTTGTTTCTTTGGAAGCCGCTGATCGGCTTTGGAGTGTCTCCCCCATTTTAGAGGGCGACTCTTCTACTTGGCCAAACTCGCCCTTCTGGCGCGAGTTAACTGCCTGAAGACCTCGGGGCTTAATTGAGGTGGGGAAGGTTTTGGGTCTCTCCTAGGTAGTTACAGTGTTGGCGCCACTTCGCTCTCCTCCCCCGCCCTCGCCCCAGAGCAGGAGGAATTTGGTTGCCAGTTGACTAAGGCTCTGTTTCTGGGGGCTGTAAATGTTTTCCCGAAATCACCCAATGGGCGCCCTCCAAAGAGAACTGCCTCCTCTTTAGCCTGGTGCTGCTGCGGCGAAGCATTGTCTCCCTGAATGGAAGCAATCACAGCTGATTTCGTCGCTGAGCAAAGTCCTGGGGGCTGGAGCAGTTGAAAGTCTTCCCAGGCTGAGGTTTTGCTGTGTTGGTGTGTGTTCCAAGCCCCTCGCTTCCACCTCCCCCATCACCTCAATTTCAGTATCCCACTCCCCAACTTGGCCATTTTAATTAAATGAGCTGTCACTTTAAAGGAAAATTAAGTCATCTTGTGGTTACTCTTCACATACACACATAGCAAGTGATGTGTGGTAGTATTTTTTAAACAATTTTTTCCTCCTCCCAGGTTGAGAGTACCAGAATTTGAAATGGAGAAATGCCTTTGGTTGGTGAATATCAGAGTAAAATGGGGATAAAACTTTGACATTATTAATCATTGTAAGATTCTCTCCGTCGACTAATCACTTCTGCTTTAGAGCAGAAAAATGTATTTTATATAATAGCGAATTAGATATAGTTCCTATAATATATAAGCAGTAGGTGGTTGTTTGGGAGTTCGTGTTGCACCCTAAGCCTTGTCTGTATTTTGTAGACTGAAGGTTTAATCTGTTTTTAGCGAAGCGATCTTAAAGCCATTTATGAACTTTGTCCTGCTTACACAGGAGAGGGTTCCTATTGTTTACTATGAAGAAAAATTCCAAGGTGCCTTAGCTCTGTAAAATACAGTATCTGGAAAGAGGAAACAAGCATTCCTTTATTAGAACTGTCTCAAAGAGAGAACCTTTCAAAACAGAAGGGTGTTTCAAGAGGACCTTTTTTGCTTCTGAGCTTGTGCTGGGAAAAGTTCCATTCTCTGGATTTTAGAACGTGAACGCTTGGACATCCCTTTCCACTTTTTGGCTCTTTTCAACAAGGGAACCTCCTTAAGAGAGGGTTTTTTAAATTATTTTTTTCTTTTTCTTTTTTTGTCAAGTGCTTATCCATCACCCACATCTCTGTGTTTGGGTTTTTAAACGTTTGTAAGCATATTTACTTGAATAGGAACTGCATGTTGTTAAAATGAGCTACTGCATTGTGATAAACAGAATTTTAAGTCATTGGAATATCATCCAAAAGGGCAATTAGATATTCTTTAAATGTCAACACAGAGACTCTAGCAAAGAACCTTTGTTGGCTGGTGAGTCAGTGTTTCTTAGAAACTGTTTGAAAGTCCCAAATGGCCAAATACTCAATTTCAATTATTTTTAAATCTTGTGGTTCTCTTTGTGTGAGCACTGAACATTCTAGGAAGATGATGGATTTGAAAGGTTATTTCTTTTGAGCCTTTAACAGTCATAGGACATTGCATGGTACTTTGCATTTTGATCTGGAAGCTGCAACTGTTTTCCTGAGATTTAAAAGTGATGGTGTTTTTTTCTGTTTAAAGCTATACTGTCCCTTTGGAAAGTATCTGAGCAGTTAGTGAAGTGTTAAATTTTAGATTTAGCCTGCAAAGGGCAGAGGGAGGATGCTTTTGTACATGTTTCAAAGGCAATGTGAGAAGGAAATAGAGTGTCTCACTTTAGGGGTTGACTAGAAGTGGAGCAGTAAGTGCTCTCCTAGTGAAATCCAGTTTGCCCTGCTACATTCATGCTTTTCTGGCTGGAGCACCATGGGGAGAAAGAGAGGATGGAATGTGACTGACGTGATACACTGCTGCTTCTCCCTTTCCATGTGGCTGCCTTTAGAAGAAGTGTATTACAGATTGCTATAAACATATAATTTGAGCTGAAAGATGTTTACTTTAGGAAAATGCAGAAATCTGCTTTGAAATGGAGGAATTTATACACATGTTTAGAAGTCTGTGTACTCAAAAAAGAAACTGTCAAGCAGTTTGAGCTCATGTTTTACTTCTCAGTTTAATCTGCAAGGAAGAGATTTAGGAGTTTGTTTTAGAAGGAAAAATAAAATTGGAGACCTATAACCTTTTGGCTATTCACTCCAATAGACAAATTACTTTTGTAAGGAGCTTGATGCAAATAGTAGACACAGACAGACAACCTTCAAGAAGGAGATCTCTAAAGCCAGGAATTCTTGACTAATTTTTTTTTTTTGTTTCAGGGACCTATTTGGCAGTCTGGTAAAGTCTATGGGCTCCTTTTCAGAATGATGTGTTTGAAGGCATAAAATAAAATACATAGGGGAAACCAATTATTTTGAAAAGAAGATGTAATTTTTTCCCCGTCTTAAGTTCATTGATGCCTTGAAATCTATTCACTACCCCAGGTTAAAAACCCTTGCTCTAAAGGTAGATTTGTCACAGAAGGGAACTGATCATGCAGTTCTGACTGACCACTTCTCAAGACCTTTTTACATCAAGGCTTGATAGTGCCCATTATTCTTCAGTAATAGTCAAGCATATTCTGGGAAATGTGAGGATTGTGTGTGACATTCTGTAGAATCTGAAGGTTGAAAAAGATTTCAGGAGATTATTTAGCTCTTTTCTCTGCTTTGGTTTGGAACTACATTTATACCTTCCCAGATCTAGGAAATTTCTACCTTTAAGATATAGCTTAAACATACTGCTCCTAACAACAACAACAACAACAACAAATTGTTTCAGAAGGACAAATAACATTATAGACCTTTTGCCTACTCCCTTGATGAGATAGATTGTGAGATGCAAAAAGCCTGTTAAACAGTTTTTCAATTTGGGCAACTACACCTAAGGACTCTGAGTTACTGAAATCTCAAAGTGAATATTCAGGGTGTGAGACAGAACAGCTGGGCTATAGATTGCCTGGGGTGAGCAAGTTCTGAGGATATCTAGTAGCCCAGTGCATTTTTTGGCAAACATCAATTGGTGATGAGCCAAGACTATCCTGTGAGAAAACCAATATATGTAGTATGTGTGTATATATTCTCTCCCAATATATCAATATATTGATATATCTATACATATGGAATATATATATAGCATATATAGGATATGTGTGTATATATAGGACATGTGTGTGTATATATTATATATACATACATATATGGATATATATTTATTTTATGTCACCTCTAGGTTTTTCCTCATTCTCTCTATTCACCAAACACAGTACCTAGAGAGAAATAATTTCTATGTGTTCATAGTAAAACATTTTACTATGTTAAAATCCAATAACTTCTGTGGCATAGAAAGTCACTTAGGAGATGTCAGAATATGTGGATATGCACAAACATACAGTTCTCATTCTGCTGTTTTATTAACGGTCTTTGCCTCTGCTACATTCCAGTGGTGTGCCCTTGAAAAGCCCCTCTTAACATTTTAGCCTTGGCTTCTTCATCTTCAATATAAGGAGCTGGGCTACAAGATCTCTGAGGTCCAGCTCTTAAGCCTATGATCATCTCAGCATCATTATTCTTCCTCTTTTCAGAACTTGTACAGCATTTAAACAGCTTAG